ACTAGGAGCCCTCCGTCTCGAGCGGGCCAAGCGGGAAGGGTTGCCTGGCAGGCTGATCCAGGCGCATGGTTCCCAATGATGCCCCTCGAAACGGAAATAAAAAGGGCTGGGTATCATGTACCAGTTGGTGGTACACTTGGGGTGTCTCTATACATTCACCAACCCAATCCATGAATGGCACAGCTGGGGTGACAACAGTGACCTCAGACTGATGAAGGTGGATGGAATCGAACCCAAGAGGCAGATGTGCAAAGGGTCCTTTTGCTGTAGGTCGTACCATCCTGAAGCTGCAAGGGTTTGTCTCACGCTCTCTTCCTGCTTGCTGCATAATCTGTAAAAAAAACATAAATAAATATAAATATATATATATATGTATATATATATATATGTAGGTAGGTGTGGAGTCCTTCATCTGTAGTCTGGTACAAGTACAAGTAGCAAGCCAAAAACTTAGACCTGGCACGGATAGACCAAAACCCTCACCTCCATGCCGCACAGCAACATTTTGTAGACCCGTCTAGTGTGAACATTCCATGCTTTTAGACCAACCATGACTTCACCCACTTCGCCCACTCAAATTCGGCGCCGGCATGACTGATGGCCAACTGCGCTGCAACCATTTGCCGCCGCTTTTCCAAAGGGTTCAAGGCTGTGCCTCGAGGCGCATCGCAGCTCCGAGGATCGTCCCGAAAACAACGGTGGGCCCCAACAGAGCGAAACGGAAGGGCCAACCGAGTCGTGAAGAAAGCAATCTAGAGCCAGGAAAGCGGATGCAAAGTAGAAGGACCCACACCTGGAGCTACCAAAAGTGGTGCCCATTTTGGATATACACAAACTAATAGTGTAGGAAGATGTAGGAAGTTCATGCCATTACTTCTGAAATCTTCTGAATGATGTCAGGTCATTCCAAACAGGAACCGGGCCATTCGGAATGTCGAGCCAGTGTTGGGGCCGTTGTATCTAAGAACCATCGATGCTTCTGTTTCCTGCCGCGCTTCGGTGCGACCCGGTCTCTGTGGTGAGCGGGTCGAAAAGGTGTCTGGCCAGTCCCCTCGGGGTGGTTGTGTATTTTTTTTTCTCGACCACCATCATTTTTTCTGAGAAAATCTCTGACCAGCCTGGGCTTGATTTAAGGCTATTTCCCAAACAACCAGGGTTTTACTAAGTTTAACTAAGGATTTTTAGACTACAACACGAGGTCAATCATTATCAATGGTCTTGGAAAGCTAGGGTTTAGCTTGTGCTTGGATAAGTTCAGCTTGGACCTTGGCCCGATATTGTCAACATATGTGGAGGCTGTCAAGCCGGAGGATTTGGGCCCCCCCAGAATCTCCCCATCTTCCGGAAGGAGGCTGACTAAGCTTATCTGAGCGGAACCGTAACACAAGGACTCAAAATCACTGCAGTCCTGCACTGATGAGATGTTGATACAGAACCGCGTGCCAGAAAACCATCATAATTCGGCGATTCTTTGGGGCGTCACACCTGAAACAGGTGCCAGGCCTCCGGAGCTCTTAAACAGCTCAGCACCCGAACCCTGAACCCGCTCGCTGGGCGCGCCGCATGGGCCCCGAGTTCCCAAACCCGAAGGTGGCGGCATGGGCGGCCGCATCGGAATCCTTAGCATGAACCGCATCGTTTGGGTTGGAATTCACTCGGCTTGGTTTGGGTTGGTAGATGTGTTGGTCCATGCCCTCAAAGCACGTAGGATCTACGTTTGAATCGTTGGACAGGACCACGAAAATGAATTCTACATCTGAAATGCAGCTGCTGCGGTTTATGGGTGGTTAATGGTGGTTACAAATCCACCACGCCAAAAGCTTTTCACAGCCAATCAGGCCATCCTGCCACAAGTGGATGGCAGAAGTCAATACTACTACTAACTATAGCTTGTCTCCAATACATCTCTAAAATACCATTGCAGGGAACGCCTTCCATTTCTTCTGCACTTTCTTCTGCCTGCTTTTCCACTGTGGACACGCGAAGCACCTCAAATCACTTGCCAAAGCCAAGTTTCAGTATCTTCTTTGGAGCTTCTTCGCATGCGTAGCCACCGCTGCAGCTTTTAAAGCTCCTCAGCGAGTGGATGGAGATCCGAGAGGTTTGGATGTGCTTTCCTTTGCCAGAAAAAGCCCTGGTCGTAGGAAGTCACTTTTTGCTGGTGGGCGCATCTCTTCATCAAGAGTTTGCCGCAACAACTGGACACCTCCCTAAGGCTCCAACTACCTCCTCAGAAGGTGATTAGACCCCCTGGCACCCACCCTAACCACCTTCGGAGGAGGTAGTGGAGCCTTAGGGACTATTCAATATAACATACATTAAAATGCCAACATAGAACTGTGCGCAGTGTCATGGTGTTCCTAGTCGTGTGATTTGATTGTTGAAGGACATCATGAATCAAACATCAAGCGGCGGACAAACATGACATGTTGTCTAAGAGGCCGGGAAGGGTTGTTAGATCTGCAAAGCAAACTTACAGCAACACAACACAACTTCAGAATGTGGCTAAACACTGAAGTCGAACATGGCACCATCTGCTCAACCAATTGCCGAACTACTGTACCAAGCCTGGTTCTCAGGTAGGGATAAGTTCACCTTCTTCTGCTGATTTTTGGCAGTCTCGGAGGACTTCCTAGCCTTGGCCCTCTCCCTGAGGATAGGATCCTGTTGGAATCTATTGGCAAAGTCTGGCGATGCTGAGTCACTCGTAACCCAAACGCCCAAATATAAAACAACTACACTCCCAAGAATCATGGAAGGTCATGGCATGGCCCCTTCAATGATCATGGAATCCTCTTGCAAACAGGTGGTGCCATCCAAGTAGCCATGATGATTTTGTTCTAAGAGTCTAGTCTAGTTAGTATCTCCGCCCATGTTGATCTGATTTCGATGTCGACCTCCCCATCGCCGAGGCGTGCTTATGTTTCCGCCAAGGCACCCTGGCCTCCATGTCTTGCAGGGCCCACCTGTGGGTATTATAAATATACATATATATATATATATTTGTGATTTAAGGGGAGAAGAATGGATGGAGCAGCGAGGAAAGTGATGCGTGCCAGTGGCCATGCGGGAGGAAGCCCAAAAGAGCATTGGGATGGTTCTCTTTGACGCTCACTTCCAATGCACTCGGTGCTGGGATGATGGTGTTTTCTCTCTCTCTCTCTCTCTCTCCACTGCCTTCCGATTGAACACCTGCCCCAGCTACCAGTAGGTTGAGGGGTGAGAAAGGAGGCCAAGCGGGTTTTCTTGGCACTCCAGGACAAAGCTGGAGATGGTTGTCACATGTTTGTTTCTCCACCCTATACTAGGTCCATGCTGTCATGCTCTTCCAGGCTTTTGGCCAGCAGCCGACGGTTCTTTCTGCGTGGCATTCCAAAAGTAGTCCAACGGGCCTGTTTGCACAACTCATCCAGAACAATATGAAAGCTAATTTCACACCTTTGGTTATCCCAAAACGCGCTTCAGTACAGTGAATCTTGCAACATTCTGTGACATTTGTCTGGTTCAGTCCACATCACTGCAATCATCTGTGGCCATCTCTTCAAGATTGTCCAAACACACGGAGTAAAATGAGACTCGACGTGTCGCTTGATATCGTGGCAGTGACCCCGCAAAAGATCGAGAAGTGACCATCTGGGCGGCACCACCAGTGACACCAGTGACGCTTTGCTATTACACCTAGACCACATGGCCATCCAGGTATGCCTTGCCCTTACCTGAGTAGAATGAAGGTCCACAACCCTGTTGAGCGTCACAGTTGCCAGCATATGGCCTTTCTGAATTGGATTCATTTTCTTCCCCACCCTTTGCAGGGAATCCTGCACATCCCTGCACCAACACACCGGCCTGCACCTCCTCGCGGCCGATGGCGTGTGCCACCGAAACCTCGCCACGCACGCTGCAGGGTGCTGGCTGCGGAGCTGCGCCGAAGCTGAGAGATCTGCTCTGAAAGCTCCTGCAACAAGGCCTAGGCTGCGGCGCGAGATGCATCGTGCCTTTGTCCATCGGGAAAGTAGGGAGGTGCTGCTTTCGGATGGATCGATTCATGGAGTGAAATAACAAATGATCCAAAGCAGGATAGGTGAACCTACCAATATAGACCCCCCAACATGATAGAAAAGAAAAATCCCGTTCGAAAGGTGTTTGGGGACCACTATAAAATCATATTCACGTTACTTGAATGCTCTGCTCAGCCAGGACTTGAGGGCCCAGATTGGGAAACATATGTGCACCTACTGTGAATCACATTCGTACCATACCTCAAAAGGCCCTGTTGCGGAAAAACGGCTGCGGAGCTTCGAGAATGCCAAGACACGCTGAAGGGGACCCATGGCTTGGCAGGCTGCTCCAGAAGGCTCGCGAGCACGCGCTGGGCATTCTGCAACGTCAGCTCGTACCTGGGTACGCAGAAGAAGTGAGAGAAGAGAAACGATAGGGCACGCGCAGGAAATGGTAGAACTACTTTGAGCAACAAGATAAGAATATATATTATGCGAACATCCCAAGGTTTTGAGTGCACTGTTGGCACTGTTTGACTCATGTACCTGTGCTCTATCCTAATTCCAGAACCTTCCTCTATGCCTGGGTTCTGTCAAGCACTTGAGACAAGCATGACTTCGAAGCATCCTACTAACTGCTAAGACTGGATGCTTGGCAAAGACCTGATCTTGGCATGTACGTCATATTACATGTAACACACCTATTATAACAATAGCCCAAGATAGCCCAAGAACCCGAGACCAAAAATGCCTTCTCATCACCTCGGCGCGGATTCCCCCGATCCGGATCGGCGCACTGCTTCAGCGGCACGCCGCCCGGCATGGCGGGACGGTGGGGCCGAGAACGCAGCGCCGAGCCGCTGAGCAGCGTCAAGAGATGTTTGGAGACCCTGCATTCATGAGATTCAATGGTTTCCATCATGGAGACTGGGCCTCTGAATGACGCAAGCATCTGCACTGTCGTAAATGTGAACTTGTCATGATTCAATGATGACCCTTTTTCCAAACACCAAGCAGGTGGTGGTTGTCCACTTCCATGGAACATGAGCCGGAGTGTATCCAGAAATGTGCGTCATGAAAGACACCTGTACACCGTGCCGCTAGAGCACACGCGGTGTGCTTTAACACCGTTCTGCGAAAGGATATCTACACAGCTTTGACCTTACGTATGCAGTTACCCGGTTGTATACGTACCTGGGCACTTGCATAGAAAGTCGGGATAAGTCGGGAAACATCCCTCGTTAAACCAATTTCTGCAGACCATGTGCCCGCATCAGGAACCTGTTACAGTAGCAGTCACAAGCACCTGTAAGCAGCATGCAGCAGCAACATCTCTACAATCTGCATCGCATCACTGCTGGAAAATCTTGGAGCCACACAGCCCAGTTCATGATCCTCACTGCCTCATGCTACCAGCACCGGCACGCGCTCGAGCACCATGGTCTTGGGACGCTGCATGGCTCGTGCACCGACGACGTGTTGATCTTCCTCGTCCTCTGAAGGCTCCTCCACGTCAAAGAACGTTTTGCCTTAAGACCGGAGACATCTGAAAAAACCCTGAGATCTTGGGGACCAATCTTGCCATTTGTTAGATATTTGTTGTCGTTGGTTTACATTGTGTACGATAAGCCTATCGCCGATCCCAAATGTGTTTGCATCGCTCAAGCTTGCAGCTTTATGTAATATAGTAGGGAAAGTGTTTACGTAATATTACATTTGTAGGTCCCCCCTGTTTTCATAGCTTAAGGGGGAGGTGATTTTACGACACGTGTCTGGGACTTCTTGTCTTCCTCTTCGTCAGAGGGGGACTCCGAAGTGGCCGAAGTGGCCGACGTGCCGGGGACGAAACTGAAGGTCAATTTGGGGTTCCATGTTCGTCCGCTCGACGTTTTCCCTGTGTATTCTGATCAGACTCATGAAAAACAAATACCTTCATGAGCTCATGATTTTCAGCAGGAAGATGCTCGAAACCTGCCGTACAATCATAGGTTCCCTCGTTGGGTGAACAAATGCAATTTTTTGAATGTGAGGTCCAAAGAGCATCAAAAAGCACCCTTGAAACAAGGATCCCGCCTTATTAGAGCTCCTGGTCTCACATGGTATCACCAAAGGTGTTTGGCTTTCTTGACCGATCCCCTGAACCCACAAATGGCCCGTGAAGAAACCAAAGACCGTTCTTCGGACCCCCTTCCGAAGACCAACCCAACAACCCTATAGGTTTGGAGAGGTTTTGAGAGTCCATGCAGGTCGGACGTCACCGGTTCCACCAGGCGAGGACCCGAAGGCACCACTGCGGATGGAATTTCGCTCAGTCCGCACTTGAATTCTGCATTTAGCAGTAACGCGCTTTACTCTTGAGACGGATTTGCACTGTCCCCATCCATCTTGTTTTGAGGATTGGTCTTCGGGTTGATGGGGGGTGCCTTTTTCGTGAGAACTTGCCCAAGCAAAGAGCTCCCATCTGCGATGTGCCCAGTGGCGCACGACCAAGCGAGGTTCCTTTGCGCAGAACAAACGCTCTTGAAGATCCTGAGTTCAAGACTCGCATGATCACTGAAAGAATTCAACTAATTAGGTTCAGCTGGTAGACGGATGTAGGCGGTGGAAAGCAGGGGGTGGAAACCGGAGGGGAACATGTTTGCTCCTAGCTGGTCAAGCTGAATGAGGAGGCCATAGGAGACCCAGCCCTCTCCGCGTCACTTTCCACTGCTCCCCTGAGAGTGTTTGAGTAATCAATCTTTGGGAGTCAATGATTATTTGGTTATTATACTATCCCTACCGTATTGTTAGGGGGGGCCTCGTAAGTTACATTTTTCCATTGAAACCACCGGGTTAGGGGTATCCGGGATGTTATATGTTGGCTTGAACTTCCAAGCTCATGCCTCGCCATGGCTCCTCCCGATTCCGATGTGGCAGTGACCTCCAGGTGGAATCCTCATGAAGGGCAGGAGCTCCAGAGCCGCCGTTCGCGTGACGGTACGCAGTCCTGGCGTCCACCGTCCGCCGAAGGAAGCGACGGTGGCAAACCGGGCTGCGAAACACCCCTCGGTGCTCAGAAAATGCTGAAGTTGTTGGTGGAGTATGTGAGCCTCCCTGTGGCTATGGTGACTATGAGTGAGTTCATCCCGACCCTGGTGCACGTTGTGAAGGGAGCGCACACTGGTCATGTACCAAAATGGATAGCTTTTCGGCATGTCAATATGTGTGACATGTCTGTCTTCGAACAATGTTCTTGTGGTTCTAGGAGTTCGTCTGTGGGGGCCTCGGGGGCGTATGCACATGTAACGTAAACTGATGTACATATTTCACTTATACGCACATATACAAATATATATATATATGTTTGTGTGTCCAACGCTCTGTCTGGCCCCTTTTTCTCCAGGGCC